ACCTCCAGATCATTTCTTGCATCAAGGCACAGAAGTACCTTCGTAAAGAGTACTGTGCTTTCTTAGCTCACCTTTGTGTTTTACTTGTATTCCCCCCTTAAAACAGTAAAAACTATGAAAATACGGGGGGTATGAACTCACCTGCAGTAAGTGATTCGAGTGAAAGGTCGAGGTAGGATGCTAAGTGTCAAGTGAAGTCTTGAACACAAACGGATCCTATTAAGCATATAATGATACATATATGGATATAATTAGTGTATATAACAACTAATTATCATAGGAAACCACTTTAGGGACTAGGAAACACTTGAATTTAAGTGTTACAATCACATGTGATTGCATTTAAGGGGTTTATGGTCACTTAGGGGAGTGTACGATCTTGATGTGTACGGTTCATGTAGTGTACGGCTATGATGTGTACGGCCATGGAGTGTACGGTCATACACTCATTGAAGAAACATGCAAAAATGGGTGTTCATCCTAACTAGCATCCATTAAGTGCTCATGGTCTTATGTTGAAACATGGGGTGAGTTTGAGGCCTATACATGCATTAAACAAGGGTTTACGGCCATATGAAGTGTGTACGGCCGTACACCCTTCATGTTCATGCTTTAGATGATGAATTAAGGCTAGGAATCAAGTGTTTCTCAAGCTTAACAAGCAGATAGAAGAGATACTCACACTTTTGAAGGCTTTTAAGGAGTTCAAGGCTCAAGAACAAGTAGGTGTTCTTGCTGTTCTTGGTGAAAGTGAAGAAGATTTGAAGATCTAATCAAAAGAGAAGATTTCATTGATGAAAACATGGATCTTCACTAGATAAAGCCATGTATCAACAATTCAATGGAAGGAATACTTACACTTTTGAAGATTAAGGTGTAAAACTTGATGATAGTTGATAGAGAATCGGATTTTCTTGAGGTGAAAGTGTGAGAAATGAGACAGAATGAAGGGAAAACATATATATATATATATATATATATATATATATATATATATATATATATATGTTTGGGTTCACGGCCACCTTGGGTGTACGGCCGTACACCCATGTGTACGGTTGTTCACTCATGTGTACGATCATGCAGATGAGTACGACCGTACACTCCTCTAAATGGAGTGTTTGGCCCGAATGCAATACGATGAATTAAGTTAACTCATCCCTAAACTCAATCCTTGAATATACTAGGCTTAGAACACTCAAACAGACCCTGAACAATGCTAAAAGATAGCAGAAATAAGTCTGACTGTGATTGAATTTGAAAGATTGTACAAGATAGAAATTTCGGGTTGTCACATAAGGAAGCATTAATAACTAGATTTATATAGGATTTCAAGTATTTAACTTATTTGATTTCATATTTCCGGTCATGCTTAATTTTCCTTAAACCTTTTATATACATATTCTAGTCTAGGTTTATGCAAATGTGTATTCCCCACCTCCGTGCTTGCATTATAACTATGATTTTGAATATCATTGGCACAATATAATCTCCATAACTCAAAATGAAACAGGTGAAAATCACCAACATTTTATTCTTTGATGCTCATCAATAAGAATACCAATTGATTTTTCCATATCAAACAAAATCTTCTAATAAATCAATCATCTTTCTATATCAAAATTAAACATCAACAATCATCAGTCCAATTTCTTTAAATCGATTCATGAATCATCACCCATAAACCATTTTAGAATAGAATCGATGATTAACCCGGAGTCTAAGATTAACAATCAATCAATTTCAAAAATTGATTCAATATCATCGACAAACATAAAATCAATCATCCAACACATAAGATTTTCCGATTAATACAGGGTGTTCAAATATTGTATCATCACCTTCACCCAAAAAATTCTTAAAATGAACTACAATCACATTCAATAAGTAAATTGATATTAACACAAAGATCGACATCATATTTAAGGGAAATATTTAAGGGAAATAAGCAAGATCAGTTGATTAAAACAAGCACTAGAAGAGATAAAGAATTGGTATGATGAGTCGAGAACCCCGCCGATGGCATTGTCGACGATATATATAATGGGGAATCGTAGGCGGATTCAGCTACATCAAAGAGGGCTTTTACTTGAATCATATCTAATACGTTGGATTTAGATGAAACAACTTGTAGGGGTTTCCCCACATGACGATTGTAACCCGATTCTGCAGTTGAAGGTGCTGAGATTGGGTTTCTGGTGATGAGTTAGTACTAAGGGTGGTTACTATTAGCTATCTTTTGGGGCTTAACTGGGAACCGTCCCGGATCCGGTTCTTAGAGACCAAAAAACCGTTCGTTATGAGAACCGGTAAAAACGGGAATTTAAAAAAAATCATTTTTGTATGTAATTATGACATCATCCGGTTTTGAGACAGGTGCTGGTAGGACCAACCGGTAAAAAGGCCGGTTCGATCTCCGATCCGATTTTGAAAACATTGGCTATAGGTGTGCTTGAAGCGGGGGTTGGGGTGTTATATATTTCAATTTTTTTAAGTATTATTATTTAAAGAAAAATATAAAATAAATTCATAATGGTATAAAAGTCTTTTTATATGTGTGAGGACTAACCACAATGAGGGGCGGAGTCTGAACAATTTTTTTTTTTTTTTTTTTGGGGGGGGGGGGGGGGGACTAAAACTACCGTTCTTACAAAAAAGCAGGGGGCATGACCAAATTTTATATTCTTAGGTCTGATATATATAAAAGCTAGTCGGTTAATACTACTTATAAGCAAAGAAGCAGGGTCGGGGGCACAACCCCTCCTGGCCCTTAATAACCTCCGCCACTAACCACGATACAAACTGAAACCACATAGCCCTTCCAAGAGACCAAAAAAAATTAGGGACTAAACTTCATATTCCTAAAACCACATGGGCTATTTATGAAGATTACTTTTTATATTATGATTGTATAAAATAAAGCTCTGGTAATAAGTTGCGTATAGTCACACATTTTTTTTATCAATAAATTAAACTGTGACTAATTCTACCTTATGATTTTGTGGCATAAAGATAGAATTCATGTCAATAGTCACGGTTGATAATTGTTACAAAATATCATCAATTGTTAAGGTTTTTTTGTTTGATATCTTCCTTTATGTTGTGATGGTTATTAAATGACACGTAAATACATATGTCACACTTGTTATGTTAAACCATTGCTAAATGTCTAAACATGGTTTACAATGGTGACAATGCTTAGTAAATATGTGACTAAAATGTTATGGAAATTTCATTAATGACCTTTAGTGACGCAATTAATCAAAATAGTGACACCCTGTTTTGAAAAGTGTTTCGAGTAAAAGTCATTTATGTACTAGTGTGAAGCTCCACTCCATACACTTCTATCATTTTGTTGTTATCAAAACTTTCATTTCATCTAGAATCAGCATTTCAAGGTTAGCAACTTTGTAGATTTTAATCTCATTTACCATTTTCTCTTAATGTTGTTTATCTAGAATTTTCTTTACTAGATTAAATGTGCAAAATGATGTGAATATGTATGTTTGCCACCACTGACTGTTTGAAGAAATGCCTTTTTGTGTTGATGTGGCTGTAATTCTTATTGTTAGTTTCTTACACATATAATTTGAGTAACTTGAGGTGTCTTGTTCAGATATAAGTCACAAAGCTCATCATGTTGTCATCCCTCAAATCTTTTACAAGGAATCCAGCAGCCATATTACTTTGACGCCCATTTATTTCTAAAATCAATTTGATTCTGATTCTCTATAAAAAACCATCCGTAGATTGCAGTCATTGTAATTTCATTATGTTAAAAGAGAACTGTAATAGCATAATGAGCATTGCTAAAAAGATCTTTCACTAGTTTTGGGAGTTATAAGTTATTGGCATGATATTAAATACATTTGAAAGTTCAATAACAATGGTAATGTGGGGCTTTCTTGTGAGCAAAGTATTTTATCCAAACTAAGATAGTATGATGCCACTTATCCATTTTGCTAATTATTATATTGTTGAGAAATGACTATTTCTCTTCTTTTTTGAATAACATAAGTAAAACGTTATTGAAGTCAGGAAAGCATAAACAAATATATTTGAGACTAGTTATTATGTATTTAGGATTCACTCAAGTCCTTATACTATTGTTCCAAGCTTTGCATTAAGTCTTTATCTCTTAACTATTGTGCCATTACTAAATCGAAGGTTCGGTTTCAAACAAAATCAGTTTGTATCAAACCCTTTTTTTTCTAAAACAGTTGGGTTTTGTGTGCACCTCTAATTCCATCTTGTTTTTATATTCTACGAATATATGAACTTTTCATAATATATTATTAAATACAAAACACGGAAAATGGCCACCCATAGTGTTAGTGGCAAATTTATTGATATCAGGCACTTCAAAAACCTTGCCAAATTACATTATATTCTGGAAAATAAGAAGTCAAAAATAAACAGTAGATAACAAACTACGTTTGTCTAGCCTTTTTCAAGTTTGCAATTAACATCGCCACCTTCAAATAAACCCAATCCCTGAAGCTCTCATAAAACTGAAAAATAGCACGCCTCCCTCCACGGTTGAGGAGTAGGCCGCCACAAGCTATCCAAAATCCAGTAGCAAAACCCATGCCCCCACCAATATAAAACCATCCCCAGAGTTCATCTGTGTCTTCCCCATCACCCCTACTTTTACCTGTAAGAGGTGGTGCTTTAGATTCTTCATCTCCAGGACAATTTTTGGTAAGGGGAGGTCCACATAGTCGTGTGTTCCCATCATATCTTGAATGTTCAAAAGACTGGAGTTGAGTGCTAGATGGGATTTTCCCTGACAAGTTATTAAATGAGACGTCTAGGTAATTCAGTAAGCTCATCTGACATATGCTTGATGGTATCTGCCCTGATAAACTGTTTCTAGATAAATCCAAAGTCAAAAGCTTTTTCATCTCGCCAATATTTCTGGGAATCTCTCCAAATAGAATGTTCTTTGACAAGTTCAGGGAAATCAAGTCATAAAGATTGGAAATTTCATTTGGGATTTGTCATGTTAAATTATTGCTTGATAGGTCAATGCTCTTCACCAATTTTAGAGTGCTAAAGAATTCACGTTCATCTCCTTGCCACTCAATCAGTGCATGGTCAATATATGCCCCCCATCCATACACCCTGCCTCTTATCTTTCTATGAAGCTCTACATCTTGGGAGAATCCTTGTTGAACCATGCTCTTAAGATTATTCAAACATGAGGGGATGGTTCCATGGAGATTATTCATTGACAAGTCCAGAATGTGAAGATTTGGTAATTGACATGACTGTAACGGGATGGTTCCAGATAAGTTGTTTGATCTTAGAATAAGAACATACAACCCTGATAAACTTTCCCCAATCCAGACAGGCACATTACCAAAAAACTTGTTGGCCCCCAAATTCAACGACTTTAAGTTCGTGCAGTTTTTTAAAGACAAAGGCAATTCTCCAGAAAAGTTGTTCTTGTATAAATACAACATCTTGAGTTCTATCAAAGATCCAATAGAGGGAGGAAGCCTTCCAAATAGATTGTTGTGTCCGAGATTAAGAACCTGTAGTTCTTTGAAATGCCACAAACAGTCGGGGAGTTGTCCACTTAATGAGTTATGAGAGAGGTCAAGAAATGATAAGAACCCATCAACAATTTGGCATATAAAGGAGATCCCTCCAGAGAATTTGTTTCTGGAAAGATTTAATATAAACAAAGTGGAAGGAACATTCAGTATTGGACCATAAAAGCTATTGGAACTCAAATCTATTATGATAGATTCATCGGCAAAATATGATGATAAATCTGATACCTTCCCGCTAATATTGTTGGAAGAAAGATTCAAATATGTTAAAGGAGAAGCCCACATGTCCCAAAACTGCAGAGGAATTGTGTCTGAAATTCCAGTATTGGAAAGATCAAGAACGACAAGATTTTTGAGTGTTTGAATCCATTTTGGGAAGTGAGGCCCTATCTTACAGAACATCAGATCAATAACTTTTACATAAGAAAGGCTTGACAAGTGATATGTAGAAGGAACTGTAAGATTATTAAAAGAAACATCAAGCAATTCAAGCCCCGGTAGTTCCCACAGTTTCTCACTTATACTTCCATTTAAGTGATTATAAGATAGGTACAGAGATTCTAGGGATGAAAACTTTCGGATCTCATCGGACAATGACCCTGTAAACTGGCTATTAGAAGCATCCAACTCTTTCAATGCAAGTGATGTGCATCCAGACAAGTTGTCAAGAAAATCAGGAAATTTGACAACAGCGGAGTTTTCATCGAAATACAAAGTTTCCAGACTACAGAGGTCACCAAGATACTTGGGTATCCCATCTAACATGTTGCCAGAGAGATCAAGAATGCGAAGCTTATTGCTGGTTAATGGGAACAACTAGAGATACATGGATGAGGTCAGATTGTTGTTTTGGAGAGAGAGGTTATCAATTGATGAAGACGAGTTGAGAAATGAATAATATGGATACATGACCCGTGATAACTCACATCCATCTAAACTTAAAAATGAGAGTTTCCGAAGACTCAGAATTACATCTACCCAGTGATTTTGTTTGGCTAGGGAAATCCCATCCATTCGCAGGGACTGCAAATGAGAGAGATGAGACAACCACTCCAAGTTATCAACACTACACCTTCCAACAGAATCAAGAAAAAGGTACTGCAAGTTGGTGAGGTTACCAACCTCTGGAGGAATGGTTCCATAAAGATTATTGAATTCGAGGTTAAGGTAACTTAATCGGGTCATGGAACCAATGATGGTGGGCAAGTTTCCATGGAAAGAATTTTGGGAAAGATCAAGATGATTTAAGTAGCTTAAATTAAGCAATGAATTACTAATCTCACCTCCGAGATTACAGTACTGCAAATCAAGCTCCGTGACACGACCTGTTTGGTTGTTGCACGTGACCCCACTCCATTCACAGCAATCACGTTCGTCGGCTGTCCATGTAGAGAGACTACCATCAGGGTCTTGAAGGGGAGCCTTGAAAAGAAGGAGAGCAAGTCTCTCCTTATTCAAACACTTGTTCACAACACCATTTGCATTTGCATCACCTCCTCCTTTTCCGGTGGCTACCAATTGGCTGGCAGTTGTAGTCACAATGAGTAGCAAGAGAAGTGAGAAAAATAGAAAAAGACAAGGATTCATAATTTCAATGAAAATCTTGATGAATTTAAATTGTATTGATGCCTGTATAAACTGATCCCTAGAAGGTTTATATAGTCAGATGAATGATTCTAAGTGGGTGACCTCAAATTGGTGGCCTGCTTGAGTTGAGCAAACAGTAAGGCAGATTAATGATGAAGAATTGGAATCAACTGCCCCCACTAAGCCTTTCAAATATTTGTATAATTACTAGTTTGTTTTGCCAGTCAAATACCTAATATACCCATTGTGTATTATCTGAAGAGGTCCCTGTTTGAGGTAACAAGAAGCAAGAATGGTAGTTGAAGATAAGAACCTAAGCTTGTTAGAAAACAATTGATTTTTGATCTGTCATCCAATATGTTTATTAGAGTAGTCTGATGCTCACTCTATTTAGCTGATTAGGAAAACTATTGAAAAAGGAAAATTGATGTACTGAAAGAAAAAACATTTAGGCCTGCCATCCAATCTGCATAATGCATATAATAGTTCTTTTAAACAAGCTACCACATCCAGAATCATCTAGCATGTACGCATCTATGTGTGTTTGTATATATGTGGCTTTCAGCATTGCCAACTGTATTTTTACAGTTCTCTTTTAAAAGAAAGTTGATGTAATGAAAGGACCTGCCTATTAGTTTTGAATCATTTTCACACTGTTACAAAAAGCCTATCATCTGTTCAATACGAAATGGGAATGGAAGTGCGATTGCTATAGGAAAGCATGATATAATTAATGCCTTAATGTAAAGAACCCACCAGAAATTTGTGTGTGTTAATACCCCACCAGACAATGGCGTGTGTATGTGTCTCACGTGTTGTAATCTCCAATATTTTTTTGAAAAAAAAAAATATTATGATTTTTTTTTTTCTTTTCTTTATCTGTCAAAGTCTCTTAAGTTGATTACTTTATATACAGTTTTTTAAACAAACGAAGAAATACTATAATATATGTTTTCCAAAAAATAATATAAGATTTAAAGGATTATTAATCTGCAATATTTTTTAGAACACCATTTTAAAGTGTTTTACTATTGAAATAATTGTTAGTGACTATTCTGATAAAACCAAATTAGAAAATTAGAAAATTACGGATTGGACTATATAGTTAGAATATTTGGATTTCTAGATTGGTATTTACCAAAACCAAATTATTACTTTTTATTTGGATTAGTTTTGGTTACTAAAATGAGAACCGAATAACGATTGTTTATTTATTTATTTAAAATATTTTAGATATGTGTTTTAAGTTATATATTAATATATTAACATTATCTTTAAAATTAAATTAAAAGTCATGTCTCAAATGAAAAGCCATTAATACAAATTTTAATCCACAAGTTAAGTATTTCTTTCTTTTACTTGAGTTTATTAAGATGTCACCCAATGACATTTTTCACTACTACAAAACTGGTCTTTGGCGATGGTTTCTGAAAACAAGATAGTGTCGTTTTTATATTTCTCGTCACTAAAGGTCATAATGTAATTTTCACGATTGTTTCCATGACAGTCTATTCAAAACGCATCACCATTGCAAATCAGACTTCACATTAACACCGGTTTACATAACAATAATGACAAGTAGTGCCACGGTCGAAAACTGGTGACCATATGTCATCTTTAATAACGGGGTTTTTATTTGATATGTACATTTACATTGTGACGATTATTAATTAAGATGTAAAAATATATAAGGTGACAAAATTTAATTTAAGTGATAAAATCTTATATTGAAATTTCTCACATGAAAAAACCCGTCATAAAGTAAACAATACTCAGAATATTATAATTTACCTTGCCGGGAGAGCTCATCGACGGTGAAGTGTGCATACTTTTACATAAAGGATATCGTCACTAGTCACAAGGTGCCGGTTTCTATTGCCTCTAATAGGGGCACATGGTTCAGATATCAGTTTTGAGGAGTGTTTCAGTAAGAGATGGGTAAACAGTTATAGTATGGTACAACATTCCACTCACAGACAAACGGTCAGAGTGAGTGTATAATCTAGCCACTCAAGGATATGCTTCAAGCTTGAGTCATTGACTTTGGGGTAGTTGAGATCAGTATCTTCCATTATTAAAGTTTTCCTATAATAATAGTTTCCACTCAAGTAGTGACAAGCCGACATTAGAACTATTGAGTGGTAGGAAGTGCGAGACGCCCATTCATTGGGGCGAGACTAGTCATTGAGTACTAAAGAGCACGAATATTGTGCTTAAGACGAATGAGTTAACTTAATCGTAAGAGAGCAATTAGTAACCATGTGAATCGACGGAAGAGCTATAATGGCATGAAGAGTTAAAATTTGGAAGCTTAGGTAGGATAATATATCTTGATGAAGGTTTCACATTGGTAAGGTTTCATTCGGTTCCGTAAGAATGGAAAGTTGGGACCTCCATATTGTAACAAAATGTTATTTCAAACCTATGTAATAATGTAGGTCAATTTGTAATTCTTTTTAATATAATAAAGAGAAATTTTAGCATACTGTGTATATTTACATAATTGACCCTCAAAAATAAATTATTAAGAAATCTCGATTGGGATGAACCAAGTGATAGAGATTGTAACAAGGTTTCCAAAAACATAAAGAACACTAAAATCCGAGTTATAACGAAGAAGTTATGACCAATCGAAGATCCGCGACAAAACCGGCAAAACACTATTCGGTGTAAAAACTGAATTTTCAATAAAAGGCTTTTTAGCCTTAACAATCTAAATGAAAGTTGTAGTTTATGTTAAACCGAGAACTTTCATAAAAAGAACGCCAAAATCTGACTTCGTATGAGGAAGTTATGATTTTTCTAAGTTTCAGTATATCAGTGTACAACTAAAAACTCGAAATAAAGATCGGGTGATTTTTAGCCGACACAACCTAAACGAGAATCGAAGGTCTCATCATTGGTAGTACAATGGTAAAAAGACAGACAAAAACGGACATCGGATGAAGAAGTTATGAATTTTTAACGGATTTTCCTATCCCGGTCTATTAAAAATAATAATATTAAAAATAAATTCAAAATCAGCCGACGAAGTCTAAACGAAAGTCGTAGAGTATGATTTTACCTACACGTGCATATAAAGAACGTCAAAAACGGAGTTCGTATGCAAAAGTTACGAATTTTAGAAGTTTTTGGCTCAAAAACCGTGAAAAATCGCATAGTCATCCTCTGCCACGTCACACTCGCATGCGAGCCTCCACGTGTCATCTGCTGATTGGACCGAAGCCTGGCGTGGCACCTTCTGATTCGACCAACTCTGTGGTCCACTCATCTTCGGACAACCTCGCATGAGACACACCGGAGACACCCCAGACATCACCCTCGGACACTCCTCGGACACCCCCTTCGCACGTGCCCTTCTCCTATTGGACCGAAGTCCGGTCCAGTCCGAACCTGCCACCTGCGAGCCTGCTGTCCGAAGCGAGCCCCATTCCTTCGCCACCTTTCCGAAACGCATCAGCCTTGCATGGCCTCGGGTCCGAAGCTTCGGCCTATATAAGGCATGCAAGGGCTTCCGAATTATTTACATTTTTCACCTTAAATTTCACCCTGTTCCATATTTTCCACTCCCATAAGCTCACATACAACCCCTAAAGCCCCGGTATCAAGTCTAAAACCCTAAGTAAGCCTCGAAGCCCCGAGATTCCTGAGAAGTTCACCTCTCTCCAGCCGAAACTCATCCCAATTTGAGCCGGTTCCTCGGCAAATAAACTCCTATTCGTGAAACGAAACTCTGTCCGATTCACCACCTATCAAGTGAGTTCATACCCCCGTATTTTCATAATTTCTACTGTTTTAAGGGGGGAATACAAGCATAACACAAGAACTTTGTGTTATAAAATCATGATTTCAACTCATGATTAAAAGACATTAAATCATCAAAAATACTCAAAACATTAAACTCTTTTATAATCTTATATTTTTCCCCAAAATTCATATATATATATATATATATATATATATATATATATATATATATATATATATATATATATATATATATAAGATTTAAGAGGCTTAGGACTGATAACTCATTCTGGGTCCTTTTTCCTTGTTTGGATGTGGGCTTATAGTACCGGTTATTTGTCCGAGTGTCGTTTAAATTTTACTTATATATTAAATTGTATATGTATATAAATATAAAAGTTATTTCATCAATTCAAATACCTTTGTAACATGTTGAGCAAGGGATTACATGCAAACATAGTTAAATACCAATTCAGAAAGTACATATAATTATAATAGGTATAATTTATACATAGAACAATAATTCATGATTCAAGTATACTAGAATACACTGTTTTACAAGAACATACTTCAATCATTTATTTCAGAATGATTGGGTTTTGATTCAAGAACATACATGTTCGGAATACTAATTCAAGAACATACTGTCAATCATTTATTTCAGAATGATTGGGTTTTCATAACTAATATACATGTAACGTTTATATGCTTTTTATGAGACATTCATTTTAGGTTGTTTAATTCATTTTAGACAACCAAGGTAAATTCCTGACATTATAACCAGAATCTCCAGCCCGGGGATCGAAACAAGTTGTGTGTAGATCTATATCGGGATTGACAACTCCACACTCAGGCTGCTACCTACAGTCAGACATACACGCCGATGAGTGGCAATTGTTATCAACAGTTTAAACACCCACAAAGCGTTTGTTTCAGGCCATCCGTCATAGTATGGTTATAATAACTCATTAAAAAGATATTAATAATACGTTAATGTATAAACAACTAAACGAAAGTACACCTTCAACGTACCAGTTTATAGAATTCAAACTACAATGGTTCAGTACAGTTTTCAATAACAGCTGGTGGAGCCAGGCACACTCTCAGTTACAAGTTTTCATAAAGGAATACAAATACAAAACATTAATACAAAAAGAACGGTTTTATGGGAATAAAACTACTTTTCATATACAACAAAAAAATATAGGATCTTCTGGAACATTTTACTTATACAAGATACAGAGATACTCTTT